AATTTTGATTCTACTGATCCGTTTCACAGAATTTGTAATCTAACAGAGTGCTAGAGACACTGTAGTTATAAGCATTACAGTAACTTTATAGTTTCCTTTTGCGTACTCATGATGTAGAACAATGTATCCTGTACAAGTTTGTACGTAATTGTGCTCCTTTTTTATTTGTTCATTTCTTCATAAAGGGTGTTTACCCGTCAGACAAATAAAAAACCAACGAGCACCAGATTATTTTCTTGTAGTCTTCGTTCTATTTAAATTCCAAGTTCCATCGTTATTATTGGAAAAGGCCGCGGTCGAAGGTTTATCCAAAACGATGTTACGGTTCGAAAAATAAGTCTGACGTCGCAGCGTGAACGCCCCCGGGTGCCCGGGTCTGGCCAGATCCGGCAAAGAAATCCATTCGGATCGCGCGAAGGAGAATTCCCCAGCCTAAGATAATTTGCATGGTTTAAAATCGGGTGAAACTTCTGAAACGTACTGCCGGGATTCGGTTCCATGCATATCACAGCGCGGGCGACTTCGCCCCCTCGGTGAAATTGTATGAGTTGTTACCCCGCGGCATGCACGTTGCATATGCATGCAGTTTCATCCCCCCCCCCTCCCCCTTCCCTGCACCACCCTCTGGCAATCCTCGGATTCGACTTCGTGTGTACCGATCGCAGGCACCCACGATTCTCGCGCCACGAGCACGGAAAACCAGAAGCTACTCTCTCTCGCACCATCTACCCCATTCCAGGGCCTCCTCGTCTTCCCATCTCTGGCCTGCTGAAGGCTTGTTACCCTCGACTGTAGTAGCGTCATCGACACGTCGCCGAAGAGAGGGAGAGTAAGCCGACGACCCCTTCCTCCCGGGTTTCAATGAATTCTAAAGATAACTTCTCGACTGCAAATCCTACTTCAATGCTAACCATCCCCCTCCATCCACCCAACGCTGTCTCTCTCCTTTCCTCTCGTTTAGTTCTTGCTTCTACCCGTTTCCGTCCTTGTCTGGGCCCTCCTTCCTTCTCCTGGGCTTCTCCTCTTTTCTCCTGGTTCGCAGTCTGGATTCTGGATCCAGTACCTCTTCCCCCCTCGTCGGACGGGTAGATAATTTCTCTCGAAACGGATGCAGTTATGCAAATACCGAGCGTGAATCTTTATTAATGCCGGTTTTGAACGTCCGCCAGAAGGTGGCCGGGACCGCAACAGTGCACAGAGGCGGCGGTAGCTTTCTAAGGTCTTCGATGCAGAGATCAGGGATACAGAAGTATCGAGTTATTCTCATAAGTAATGCAATTGTCGGTGTCCCGAGAAATCAACGATGATCGATAGATGTCTTTAAAAGAATTAGATATAGAAAATGTTTTGTTGTGTAAATTCAGTGTATCATGTTCTATATTTTTGTATTAACACGTTAACTGCCACGCTAGTTTTCCATGTTTAGAGATGTCCTTAACATTTGTTCAAAGTATAGTGTATAAGAAGTGTATATGTGTTTGGGCCAGGGAAGCCATTATAGTATGTATTGTAGATAGGAATCGGGAGGGTTCGACTTCAACAGCAGAAAGTCACTGTGCATCGAACTCTGGTCGAGAGTAGTCATTTATGATTTTTATGCTCTTTTATGTTAAATAGGTGTAGTAATATTGTAGAAATTTGGGGGTTCAAATGAGCAAATCTCGACTTCCTCTCAGCAATATACAAAGGACACACGGTACAATAGTAGTAGGTCAGAAGAACTCTAGGTGGCGCAGAAACAAATGGCGCCTTATCTCTAACAAATATCAAATAATATTGTTTATATACAAGTCAAATGTGTCCGAATATTTGAATCTGACCACACGCCAGTTGACCATTCCTGTGGCCATCCTTGCAAGTGTGAAACATAGAAATATTCGAAAATTCAATGGTAAATTTCTTACTTTATATTCCAAATTAAAGTAACGTTATTTACAATTTTACAAGTATTAGAGTTCTTCCACTATAAACAATACTGCAAGTATCTTGTAAGTTTTGTTGCAACTTGCTGTTACAACATTACAATGTAACCCCGTTGTAAGTTTAAAGTGTCGGTCACCGGTGACCACCGTGGCAATCAACGTGTTAATTTTGTGGCGGCCTGCTGTATGGAGGAAGTGAGTAGGCGAAATACCAGGAGGGAAGATAGAGATAGGAGAGGAAACTTCTACTCCTAGGAAAAATTTTAATGCGAGATTCTAGAGGCCAAAACAAGACGAAAATCAAGAATATCGATTTCTTGACTCAAGCTTCGTTAAAAATTCAAATCATTCTGAAAAAATTATTTTCGGTTGCGGGGGTCAATTACAATCATTTTTTGTGAATACACATACCCTCGAAATCCTACTCAGATGCGAGAAAAAAATTCGTTACCGAAAATATAATGTCTGATCATGAATGGATAATTCCTCTAAAATTTCATGTGTTTCAAATCGTTCTGAAAAAATTATTTTCGGTTGCAGGGGTCAATTACAATCATTTTTGGTGAATACACATACCCCCGAAATCCTACGCATTTTCGAGAAAAAAATTCAGGAATGTGGTCTTTTTCGACAAAATTCAAAAATTTCAAATCGTTTAAAAAAAATTATTTTTGATTGCAGGGGTCAATTAAAATCATTTTCGGTCAATAGACATACTTTCGAAATCCTACCCACTTTCAAGAAAAAAATTCAGTTCGTGCGGAACTTTACATGTTAATAACTTTTTAACGAAGCCTCCATCAACAAATTAGTATTCTTGATTTTCGTCCTATTTTGGCCTCTAGAATCTCCCATTACAATTTTCTCCAGGGGTAACCGGACACCCGGTATATAGAAGTAGAAAAATCAGTCGAGTGCTTGTGAGAGAGTATAGCCCTCTACTAGCGAGTGCTGAAGAGTTGTAATTCTGAAACGCAACTACACCTCGCGTTCTCTCATAACCGGTCGTTTAAAGTTGTTAACAAATGAATGAATAACTCATTCGCTACCAACCACTATATTCATGGCACCTTAAATATGTTATAACATAAAACCTTTTTGAATTTGCAAACCTTTTTGTGGCCACAGACATAAATACGAAAGTGTTTCCACTGCCAACCACGAGTATACTCGTGTTTGATGTTATGCATGAAAACATTTATGGCAAAATATGCTTACTTATCAAGAAATAACAGGACTTAAATAAACAATAACACTCGAAACAGTAATATCAATGGGGATAACTTCATATAATTTAGACTTGGCAGCGAATGTATTAAAACAGAGTCTTTACCATTACCAATCGAAAGGTAATAATCATAGAAATTAAAATGAGATAAAGAATGAATCTTTGCACCACATTGTATCAATTTCAAATTTTACTAGAAACTTTCAAAAAAATTAAAATCATAATGGACATTACAAATATATTGGACCAAACATTTTCAGACAAAATTCAGACCAAAACAGAAAGTGTACTCTGTGAAATTGAAAGTTAGAACATCTTCAACGTATTCGTAAAATCTATTATCTGACAAAATTGATAAACAAGTGCCAGCCATTTGCTGGAATTGTTCTAAACTGACCGTGCTGTGAGCTTAAAAAGGTTACGAACCGCTTACTTATGGGATAACGTGATAGATTACGCGCGTGCACCACCCGAAACAATTCACCCCGCCAGGGGTGAATTAGCCCCCCAGCCGAGTCGTGCGAGATATCGCGCCGGATCTACGATTTCCAACGGCCTCCTTGGACTTGATGACGAACGGCCAGCTGCGCCAGTCTTTTTGCCTTCGAGGGCAATTACGGGGAGATAGATCGTCCATGGATCGTATTACCCGGTGTCACGGGCCGTTTGATCTTCCGAAAACAGAATAACGCGCACCTTAATCTCTTCCGTAGGATCGCAGACTTTGGTTGATTGTTTATTTCCATTTGTTCAGTCGTTTTGAACGTTTCATTGTGAACTAGAACTACAAATCGTCTGTCGTTTCTCGCGTTTCTTATTAACACTTTAACACTAGAACTACCGACAGTTATAGTGTGTTTATAGGTACGTGAAGAAATGTATAATGCAATGGAAATAAGTGTTTATTCATTCTCTCATAGAAAATTACGGTAAATTTCCAAAAATTCAGTCGACTAAATTTTTTACAGGTTTTAATAGAAATTACGAATGGGTCATTTTGACTGGTTTGGTAGTTCTAGTGTTAATGGTCACGCGTTTCGAACGAAGACTATTACCCCTTTAACCCCTTAACGCTCATATTTTTCTAACTCTCCAAAAATGATCAGTTTTCTTTATTGGATTTGTTTCTAGGCTACATAATAATGTGTTTTTTTGATAACACCAGATTTATGGATGTTGATTATACAATCTATTTTTACTGAAGTGAGCCAATTTGATTTATACTACAAAATTCAAGTTTTTGGCAAAAAAAATAGTTCCAAATCAATTTAAATGAAAGATTTATTATTAAAAATTTCATTGGATACACTTTTTACGTATATACACTCTATTTTGTAAGATATATTTAGCAAAAGAAATTTTTTCTGATTTTTTCCAACTATGGCAACCCTATGTAATTGGATGTAAAATAAATATGAATTGAAATACCTTTTACAAATAAATATCGAAATTACCTTGGACCGAATTATTTGAAAAACAATTGATTTTATGAAATTATATTATTTCACGCGTGATGTATAAATTGGAATTATGAAAGAGCTGTTTTTGGCCTCAGCTAACTAATAAATTGGCAATATTGAACATGAATGTTTACGCATTGGGTGTTTTTCGAATTCTGATAAGAACTTTCTTCATGTAAATCATAAATTTGATGTGTTTAAAACAATTAACTGTTGAACCATTTTCTAATCTATTTTCTAATATTCCATTTCAAAGCTATTTTCTCTTCTAAATCGCATTTTTATTCGAGAAACAGGGAAAATGTTGCAACAATTATTGTTGTACTGAAAAAACGACAACCAAGTCTGTGTTGGACGTTAATTAATAATCTTTTCGTTGTTTACTTGCAGATGGTTGCGAGAATAAAAAGTGTGACTACTACGCTGAATGTGAAAGCGACAGCACCGGGGAAGCCAAGTGTGTTTGTCCTGGAAAATGCGAACTGTCGGTAAGTCGAAGTTTTCGTAATTTTTGTAGAATCGTTATACACTCCCGTGAACTAAAGAACCGCTTTATAATTATTCGAAAAATAACAAATTTTGAAAAATGTAGTTTTATAACGATGTAGAAAAACTTTTGAACCTCGAAGCCTCAGCTTTTCAATTCTAATTCAGCAAATTCGAAGCAAAATATTATTATGCACAATTAATATAAAGTCCAGAAAAATTAAAATTGTTGCGAGGTATTTATAATTTCACTCTAAATTTATTCTGAAATATTCGCTGTATTTGCGATACGTGGCAAACACCTTCGTGTAGTGTTAAATAAACTGTACCTATAAAATTAAATAAATCGAAATCTATATTTTAAAGGTTTTATTAAAGGTTTTGAAAAGTTATTTAATTTTTACACAAAAGTGCATTGATTCTTAAAATGAACATTGCTTCGGGGTTAGCGTGTTCATTTCTCGAACAGTGGAAGTGAAATTTGACACCAGCAGGTGTGTATACACAGCTATATCATTGAGTTTCGGAGTCGTCTAAAAATTTATTAATTATGCAACATAGAAACAACTTTATTGTATTTATTATTTTTAGTTTAATCGTAATTTAATGCATGTGATACACTTTCATCGCGTACTATTATATTATTAAATAATTTAATGTAGTAAATAGCATATTTTTAAGAATATCTTTCTAGAATTAATAAGATTGTGAGCCCTAAAGGGAAAAATATTTTGATTGGAAAGGATTACAATGTTCAATTTACGAATCACGTTTGGGATTTATTTTAAGAATCATTACTATACCGTGATATTTTACAAATATTTTAACCAAAATAGCAAGTTCAATGGAGTATGGGACTGTCAAAACGAAATCGATGGTTCCACCGAGTACACTGAAATAGCGAAATTATCGCACATAATTCTCCACCTTAAGGCTAAATTGTACCCGCAAAATCTGTTCGTCGACGAAAGTAAAAAATGTCTTATCAAGCCGGTTGAAGCGCAAAATCATCGTAGTTAAATGTAATGAACCATCAAACGTGCCAATCTCGGAGCCTTTACGTGCTCATGGGCAATCGTTGCGTTAAGCCTCGCTCGTTAGCATGACCGAAGTAAAATATTCATACGATGATGGATGTTCCATCGCGCGTATATACGCGTCAAAACCAGAATACGTTCCCCGTGCACGATGTGTCTCGCATTTCAGTAGGTATTTTGCAAAGCCAATGTCGTGCACCTGAGCCTAAAAGGAATAGATTTTTAATATTATCAAAGAACATAATATCAGAAAGCCTCTGATAGATAATACGAGACCACGGCCTTCTATTAAATATCACTGTGTTCGTTCCCTTATAATTTAGGGACTAGATGGAAAACAGGTGCATGATTTCACGATTTCAGCCTAGAACACATTGAATAAAACTTTTGTTTTCATAAAATATACGATACGGAATCATATTTATTTGCAGTAATATACAGGATGTTGGGCCACCCCTGGGAAAAATTTTAATGGGTGATTCTAAAGGTCAAAATAAGACGAAAATCAAGAATAGTAATTTGTTGATGGAGGCTTCGTTAAAAAGTTATTAATGTTTAAAGTTCCACCCGTACTGAATTTTTTTCTAGAAAGTGGGTAGGATTTCGAGGGTATGTCTAATGACCGAAAATTATTGTAATTGACCCCCGCAATCGAAAATAATTTTTCCAGAAAGATTTGAAATTTTTTTTTTACCAAAAAATTCAGACACTGTCGATTTTTCTTAAGAATTTTTTTCACTTTTAATAAATGTGTTTGACGCTCTACAGAAAAGTTGTCTAATACTTTTTTGTAGGCACCCATGGGCTCTGTTTCCAGACTAAATTTCAATCAGATCCATTGATTATTGTAGGAGTTACGGCCGTTTGAATATTGGGCCATTTTTATGGGGTTTTTATAACTTTACCATGTTAAGGAACAAATTTCTTAATATTTTTGGAATTTCCACATATTCTCCATTAAAATACGCGTTGTTTGCCTTTTGAAACATTGAAATCCTCCAATCCGTTCAGAAGTTATGATATTTTAAACATACGCCTGAAATTTCAGTGAAACATGTCAACGTTTGGTCAGACATTACATTTTCGGTAATGAATTTTTTTCTCGAAACTGCGTAGGATTTCGGGGGTATGTCTATTCACCTAAAATGCTTGCAATTGCCCCCTGTAACTAAATATAATTTTTTTAGAATGATTTGAAATTTTTAATTTCATTTTTTAATAACTTCTTAACGAAGCCTCCATCAACAAATTCGTATTCTTGATTTTCGTCTTATTTTGGCCTCTAGAATTCCCCATTAAAATTTTTCCCAGAGGTGGCCGAACACCCTGTATATTCTGAAATCGACGAGGGTGAAATTTGTAATTTAATAGAAAACAAACAAAATTTGCAAGTTCAGGGGACTTTTGAAATTTGAAACATACCAATATCAACAATTTATAGAAATTTGAAACGAATAGATATTGTGTCAAAGCTCGAAGTTTGGAATCCATGTTGGTTTGTGGAACGAAATTTTCTTGATCATACTTGATTGCATGAATATTTTTGTTAAGATATAATAAAACTGAACCTTCTGGGAAATAAAATACAGCAATCTCCAGGCTTATTTATTATAGGGTAAACAATTTGAAAATATCAACGTTTTAATGAAAAACATTGAACTACATATTATAAATTTAATAAAATATGAAACAAGTTTTCTAGCGACGATACAATGGCTTTGCCAAAGGAAATGAGAAGAGGTTTACCGTTTTTCATAAAATTCCATTATATGTTTAAAATATTGGACATCCCATAACATACGGGACGACCTAATAATAGCAAGCATTGTTAAGAAGACGTAATCATTTGCTTCATACACAAATAAAATTATTTCACAAACATATAATTAAACTGACACATGATATTATTCTACTAAACTGGCTTCTCCATATAGTTTAAGAACATGAAAATTTAAGGAACGTAATGCGACATTTTCTTTACAAAGAAAATGTATTTTCGAAGGACTTCTTTACATCAATAAATTCTTCACTTGCCATTAATGAACAAACATTATTAAACCTGAATTTACACCTAAAACATCTATATCGAGCCAGATTTGATGCAGAATGCCAAAGGTTGAAACGCAGCCTGTCGATCCGTTACCTCGTTCGAGATCGAGGCAATATCACGTGGCTCGTTCTCTCTGGAGGCAAACGGAGTCGATACTCCTGCAAATCCCAAGAGCGTCGGGGAACTTGTACGCGTGCCCAGAAGGGAGATCGAGAAAGAAAAGAAGAAAAAAAAAAAAAAAAGGAAAAAGCGTGACGTTATCGCGAGTAATCCGCGACAGTTCTCTGGGAGCTCGTGAAATAAAACTTCCCGGTGCGCAAATATTCGTTGGGAATGGAGAGCACGTCAGGGCCCTCGGAGAGATATCGTTATCCAGATAGAGACTACGTCGAAGACCGGCCGAGATACGCGGCGGGTCTCGAGATTCACGAATTCGTGAAACGTCCTGCTGACAAAACCACGAACAATTCCGGGGTTTCCGCAGAGCGACGCCGACGGTCGTTCCGCGTAACTGTCGCCGGCGCATGCTTCTTTTTCGCAAAAGGAGGATCGGGAAATTGGTTGGACGTGGCTAGGGGCGACCGTGCTTCCCAAAATTCAACGACGTCGACGACGTTGCGGGACGATTATGGGCCGGATCGACGCAAAACCATCGGCCGGAACGATCTGCACGTCCTACCGTCGACGCACATTAACCCCCCTGCGGTCCACGTCAGTCTTTATACTTACTTCCAACAGGTCCCGCGCTCGATTCAGCTAGTTACACTTATACTCTACGGTTTACGTGCATCCACGGCAGACTTGGACTTTTTAAGAAATTTTCGAAATACGTTTGCCGTGTACGTCGCGACAACGTCGAAATGGTTGGCTCACGACGAAGTATAAAATTCTGGTTGGTTTAATAATTTATTCGTTAGTGAAGCGCGCTGAATTAGTCCACGGCGAGGACCTTTACAATATTCTGCTCGGATTTGTATAGTCCGGGTCGTAATATAGCGAGGTCGTAAACTCGAGTAGGTGTCAAAGTTTACACGTTTCAGCTCCCGAAACAAGTGAATTGACAGAAATACGAGCAGCTAAGGGCCGTACGTAGAAATGTTTTATCTAGTGTCGCCATTTTTAGAGGTATCGTAACAGGTAAAGTTAATTTACCTGCTTATATGCATGTAAAAAATGAAAAAAGATAGTGCAGTTACGGACATAGAAAGACATTCAGAAAGGCACCCACAAGCAAGATGTCATGTACAGCCCTAAGTGCTGCAGCAGGAGTCTTAAGCAATAAACTTTTTGTTGTGAATGAACACATAAGTTTGTTTATACCAAGTTACAACAAAATTGATTAACTAATAACAAAAATATGTTGATTTTGTTCTACATAGTAGGTAATAACAGTCCACAAAAGTTACTCGTAGCATTCTTAGCAAAGTCGATCTTCTTTTGCTTCGAATGTCATTTCACATCGAAAATAATTTCCACAGTTCGCAGTCGGTTGAGTGAACGCTAATAGAGCAGTCTAGTTCGAAATTGTGTCAAAATAACATCGATAAATACAAATGAGTCGAAAGAAGTCCGAGACAACTCTAGAAGAGCATCAAATAGTTTTTAAATTACACCAAGACGGTAAAAGTTATGTTGAGATAGGAAAAATAATGGATAGAAATAGAAACCATCATTATTGCTATTTGTTGTCAATGTTGAAATAAATTTTAGCCTGTTTTAAGACTTATTCAAGATTATTTATCTTTTTTATTATTATTATTATATACCTACTAATGTTTTGTTTCTCCTTACTTCCGTCTCTATTTAAAGATTTTAATTTTTGTATTCAGAACATTTTAAATTTCAAAAATAGTGCTTCCGTGCTATTCCTGAGAAAATCAGTGAATTCGGTTTGCCCAAAGATCTATATTGCATCGATCGAAGCTAAATTCATTCCCTTTCATGTACGTGACATTCGGTAGTTACGGAACCGAAAAGGAACTATTCCAGTTGATTGGAATGCATCAGCGAAGGACTTTCAAGAAAAGACGAGACGAAAAGGACCAAATCGTAGGGCGAAGAAAGAGACAAGGGTTAGAGGAATTGTTCGAGGAATATCGGGTATATTCCAGCTACCCTTATAGATCCGCGCATCCGTTCCGTAATTGTGTCGTAAATTACAATAAAAAGAAAGGAAGCGTCTTCGAATATTATCTATTACATTTTCACTGTTCCTTCGTCGCGTATCATTAACCCCTTGATATACGATTTAATTCTAAATAATTTTTTAAACGTTAAAAAAAATTAATTTTGTATAAATTTGTTTGTACGAGGAATGGCCACGAGAAAGAATAGATTTGTTTTACGAATACCTTGTGAATGTAAAAATTGTGTCGATTTTAATATATAAGACAATTCTAGAAAGGTTTCAATCTAAAGTTTTAAGAACAGTAGTAAACGCTCCATGGTTCGTTGCGAACGAAATTAACACTAAACCTACCAGCACTTCATGTATACTAATTCCTACCATGACCGGTCAAATGACCAGTCTTTCTTTCTCTCTATTACAAGGCAACGTACTTCTGATTTTTTCATTATATGTATAGAAACTTGTGTTTTGATGTTTATTCGTAAGATATCCTTCTCATTTATGTTAAAAAAATTTTTTAATTTTCATCGGATAGAAGATAAAATGGCCTTGAAAACGAGTTTTGTTCCAAATCGATACCGTAGTTAGTTCTAGAGAAAACAATTATTCAAGAAAAAGTACTGGCTAGTAATTACGCAAACATCCTGTATTTAAATTTAAATTAATTTTTAATTAACACGTTGACTGCCAGTCTAAAATCCTAAAATTGTTTACGAGACCAAAACTTTCATTTTAGACAATTGTAAACAACACAACATAAAAGTTTTCTTAATTAGTTACTTTCGTAACCTCATTAAAATTTACGAAGTCTATTAAAATTTATTTTCTTCAACATTTAAACTTGAGAATTAATTGTTTTAGTTCCAATTGTTAAAAGTTCTATCACCCATATATGGATGACATGGCAGTCAAAGTGTTACACAAACAATTTATAATCCAGTTTTATCGTACACTAGCCATACGATCAGTAGGAATTGCTGAAACTTCTTTGGATATGTAGCGTCAAAGTAAATGTCAAAATAAATATAGAAAATAACATAAATTATAGTAGTTATTACATTCATCGGATAGGGGATGAAAGCCCCTTTAAAATGAGCGTTTGTACAAGTAAATAGCTTTATTAGTTCCGGAGATATAGCGATTTTAATTTCAAGTCGATGCGGTGGCTAGTTACGGAGATACGAAGGTCCGAAGCGTTTGTTTACGTTCCATTGTAATCAATGGACTCGCGCGCGTGACAATAGTAAACAGTGCGTAGTAATTTCTTGGAAATACTACGACTTCCTGGTCACGTGACTGTCTCGACTCACGCGCGAGAAAGAGGTCCAACGCGACGCGTCAGACGGAGACAGAGATAGTCAAATTAAGAAAAATACCCTTTTATATAACTTACGATATCTCGAAAACGGAAAGTCAGATCGTCAAAAACCAAAAGCCATTTTAAAGGGGAGGCTTTACCGCTTCTAACAGTGGTTCAATAATTAATAAAACGCTAGTAGTTTCGGAACTGCACACGTCTAAAGTTTTAGTATTTTTAATGTGCGTTAATAGCCTTTTCTACGGCGGAGAGCGGAATTAAAAAAATTACCTTTTACATAAATTACGATATCTCGAAAACGGGAAGTCGGATCGTCAAAAACTAAAAGCCATTTTAAAGGGGAGGCTTTACCGCTTCTAACAGTGGCTCAATAATTAATAAAACGCTAGTAGTTTCGAAACTGCACGCGTCTGAAGTTTAACTATTTTTGATACGCGTTGTTAGACTGTTCTAAGGCAGTGGAGAAACTGAAGATTCTCTCTTTTCGTCTTTGCTATACACATAGTTCCTATTTATATGGAAAATTAACCAAAATTTGGTACCAAATTTTGTCCAGTTTTTTAGAAAAAACCATAAACCATTCAACCTTGTCAGACGACATATTTTTCTGAGGCAACAAACAATAGGAATAAAAGTGGATATTGTAAAATTCATTGTACGTATGCTATAAGAAAAGTCGTGAAGTTAAATGGCGCTAAAGGGTGTAGCCGAATAAGCATGGTAAAACCCCAAACCAAATTGAACGGAGTTAATACCACTCGATAGGTGGTTCGGAAAAACCCCTTTTCACAGAGTTTCAACCCGGTATCTCTTCTACGAGGGTAATTACGGGGTGAAAATCATTTTTTGCTTTATCCTTAATATCTATCGTTCTGGTCAATTAAAAATTATGAAAAAAATCATGGTTATTCTATCGATTGATGTACATATTCGAGAATTTTTGGATGCAAATTCGATTTTTAAAAAATTCGAAAATATTTCAACCGGCGATTTTTTGTCGAAGTTATCAAGTCACCACATTCGTTTTAATATTATAAACCCCACGATGTGAAGGTTCCTTAAGAATCCTTAACAGAAACACAGTCCATTCCAACAAACCAACGCCTTGCATATCAACAGACGTGCAACACACTGCACGAGCTCTCAACAGTTCTAATTTGTCAAGCTCGAGTAGCTCCTTACGAATCGAACGGTTTTTCTCCGATAATTACGATCGGATTTGAGCGTGACAGTAGTCTTCAACGTGCCCCTGGAGGAAAAAATCAATCCCCGAACGAGTTACGTAACGACGAATCGTTTCAGTCGGACAAATAATTCTCGTTCCTCGAACCGGTCACCGCAAACGCTCCACTGCATCGTCCGATATACCGGATACGAGCGTATTTCGCTGGACCAGACTTCATACCCATTATCCTCCATTTCAGAGTCAGCAACGCCACAAATACCTCAGCCTCGAATTCCAATTACACCCGGACGAGGTCTCCGTGCTGTCCGTCGTTCCACGCGCATTTGCGAGCTGGTGGCGCGCGCGCGCGCGCGAGCGCACGAGCGTATCCCTGCACGCTCCGGTTATAAGCGGACCGTAACACAGTGGAAACGCTCCGGGCGGAACGCTGGCCAACGCGTGCATGAAACGCGCGTAATAAGCAAACAACGCCGGGGCTGGATACGGCGGCGGGCTAATTAAGTTTTGCTCTTTCGCGTATTATTTTCTCACCCCGGTAGCACGACTCATCCCACAGCGTCGCGACGCCGGCGTACGTCAGGACGACGCCCCCGCTGCGACTTGCCACGCGCAACAAGTGCGAGACGCGTGCAACACACCGTTTTTCCGCTCTTTCTGCTCGCTATCCTCCACGGGTACCTCGGATCGAAAATTTTTTTCATTATTTACTGGAAACCGGGACGATTTAAACGTATGGTTCGCGGCCCTCGATGTCAGTATTCTCTGCTCTCGAAACTCCCCCCATCGTCTTCATGGTTGTGTTAACCTACTACTACACGTGTTAGGTTGTCCCATAAATTCGTGCAGTTCGATATTCTTGTCAGATTGTTTCTCACTCGGGATATTAATACATTATACACACTACTAACACACACACGGAATAAGAATAGCTATATACAGGGTATTTCACCTAACTTGACCACTTTAAATATATCGCTTATTTTGTATGATAGTCATGTCATTTTTTTCGAGATTTCAAGGTCATCGTATTTTTTTTAAAATGGAACTGCATATTTTCATTACAACAGTCTTATAGCTTATAAAAAAACGAATCCCACGAGGTGCAATATGTTGACCTTCACTTGACCTTTAGTGAAGAAATTATGAAATGTTTGTCAGTAACTTCAGTACGCGTTCGGGGACGGTAAATGAAGGAGTTTCAATTTCACTGAAACAGTTTTAAGTTAAATCTCTATTTTGGAAGGTTTTCAAAATGTGTACCATGAACGTGGATACATTTTTCGAGGCGGTAAATAAATTCTTGCTGTATACGACTATATTTGAGCACCGAATTTATAAGATTCAGAAACATAATTCGTCGATACTTGATCCGTAACGAAGACAATTAATATAATTGTACTGATAATAAAAGCTCAGCAGTGAATTCAGTAAATTGAATATTGGATACAACTTTGTTTGGATACACAGAGTTTTGACATGCTCGTAAAAATAAATAAGAACTATTTGATTGATCTTGTGTAGTAAAGTAGCCATTATTAGATATATGGTGACGCATGTGTCGTTCTAATTTCAGGGAAAGGAACCTGCGGAAGCGGAGAAAGTATGTGGATCCAACGGAAAAACTTATGCCAACGAATGCTTTCTGAAGGTAGCCTCCTGTAAATCTCAGACTCATATCAATATCAGCTATATGGGTGACTGTGGTAAGCAATTTAATTTATTTAATTACTCCTTCACTACTTCTATATTCTCTTCAATAGGAAAGTGCTCGTGTTACTGTCGATACTTTCTAGATCGATCACATATACTACAAAGTTAGGGAGAAAAACTTTTCAAGTGCCTTATCTTATATTACACGTCGGTCAGAATTTTATATTACGAAAAGACTGATTCGTTTCATATAATAAACATGATGAAGACTCATTTTTGTTAGCTTTTTACAATAATATTGATTCTTTTCATAAACTGTAGCTAAAAACTTCCACTGTAATATTATACTTTGTATTGTACATATCACTTTAGAAGACAAAAACTACAATATAAATAATTTGTTAATAATTTTTAATATTTTCTTTCTTATTATAACAGACAGTGTTAATCTATAAAATAAAATTTTATGATAGATGTACATATGTACGTGGATGTTTCACGTTATTTTTATATCAAAATGTTTGTCTTGGACGTTTTAAAGTAAAATCGAAGTACCTACACGAGACCATTTTCACTATAATGTGAATACACATGAACATAATGTCTCGAAAATGAAGAAATACAATACTGTGGAACTTCAAATTCAAGGTTTAACTTCTGAGAAGTAGACTATTTTTTTAATATCGATTATTACGATGAAAATGTAACAAGAAATAGCTACGTGTAACCATTCATCTGAGAAACTGTAATAACATTTTAGAAATAACAGATATAACATTAACACGTTAACTGCCACGCCTATGTTCTAATAACAAACAAAAATGTTTATATCTCAGAAACGGTAGACCTTTCGACCTATGTTTAATAAAGCTTTTTTACTCAGTACAATGTATCCTACATACCCTATAAATATTGAATGGTTTTCTTTTAACACCCTGTATAATATTTCAATGATGTATTTGTCACTTGATAACATTTTAATAACACTAACATCGTTTAAAAATTTATACAAATTTTAGAAAGACAATTGTAAGCTTGAAGCGCCGGTCACCAGTGACCCACGTGGCAGTGAACGTGTTAAAGTAGATACAACATTTTTTTTTAAACTCCCAAGGATGTTTACGCCCTCGCAAGATGGCGGCCAAGCATACGTGGTCTCTATTGTCCCTACTTTGTCACGGTTTCGAAAGAACTTATTAAGGGGAATCGTCGAAGAAGCCATTGTGGAACAGTAAAGAAAATGAGAAAACCCTGTTGCAGAACTTTGCACGCGTGTGAAATGCGATTACGGAGCTTACTGCATGGCTGGGGTGTGCGTGTGCCCAGAAATGTGCCCGGAGAGCACTGGAGAACCCGTGTGCGGCAGCGATGGCAAAACGTACCCGTCGGAGTGCGAGCTGCAGAAGGAGGCCTGCGGCAAGAATCCAAGACTGCCGGTCTTGCACGTGATATTTTACGGCGACTGCGGCGAACGATTTGCTGTTGCAGCATTGAGTACGTTCCTCATATTTCTAAAGAAACGAATGGGATCGTTCGATGGACAGTTCTTGTAAACGCAACTCAAATGGAGTCGAGTTTAGCAGCGATTTTCAACCTCGTTGCACACTAACAGATATACTAAATTTTGTCTATCAATCGCTGACAAGAAACGTATATTTTTGTCTGATTGAAAAAAAAAGATAATGATTTTGTAACGTTTTTACTTATTTATGATATCTAGTAATATAGAAGTAACGCTTAACAAGTTATTTAGAGTTTAGAACGATGCCTATTATCTGTTTGTATTATTTGTACATTTAATTTTAATGAGATATTTGTGGTTGTCGTTATTTTAATATGGCTCAAATATGGAGTGAAGACAGGAAGAAGTGCTTCAATTGTTTAGATTTTAAAATCCACTGTTATTTCTCATCTTTGTTCATTTGTCCTCTGTAGTGTGAAAATATGCAAACGATACCTTTTCATCGGTATCTGTTAAGTTAAACGCGAGAAATTGGATAAATAAATTCGCACGTAATGTCACTGTAGCGGTAATATTTTGATTGCCGTGGTATACCGGTTGAAAATCGCTGGAATAGAGTATTTCTCGCTTGTAAGAAACGATATAACCCCGCGCAGATGAGACTGAAGTCGTTTCCACCACTAGAAAACGCACTGTATTCATCATAATTGTACACGAAATTAAAATTCATCCCGAATTGACAAGTGATATTTTTATATTTCTTATCGTGTCTTTATCTCAGTGTTATTAATGTTTTTCCCGGTGAAAATGAGTACAGACATAATCTCGTTCGAACTATCTTTAATTATACATTATTCGAATCACTTTTCGAAAAACTTCCAATTGCATATAATTAAAAATATTCTCTTTGCACAAAGTATTTAATTTGAAGAAAAATCTCACACTTTTGTTGATACCTCGTATAACTTCTCGCTAAGTCGAAATTTTTTCTGAACATTTTCAAAAATTGCTTTCTACCGAGCATATGAAAGCTATAGTTAATCTTATTCAGTTTCTTACAAACGAAAGTTACTGTATTTATTAGGGCCAAGGATCCAGAATGCATTGAAACAGGGAAAATTGATTGGATGTTGACGTCGTAAATGCGCTTTTCTAACGCAAAAGAATTCCCGCCAAAACCGACCTAATCTCCGTGGTGTCCAAAATGACTTGTACAGGCTATTATTTCTTCGAAGAATTTAAACGTATTCGTTAAAACCAGGACTTTCGACAAACATATTTTGGAACTATACAATGGCACAAATATTTTTTTGTCAAAATAATATAGATTGTTGTGTAATTTATATTTCTACGCAAAATAGGGTGGTTCTTCATTCAAAAATATGTCGATGTAAGGTGATTGTTTGAAAGGAAAATCTAGATTTTTCTAAATGTAAGATGGTATACATGGTGTTTGGCCACCCCTTGGAAAAATCAAGAATACTAATTTGTTGATTGAAGCTTCGTTAAAGAGTTATTAATGTTTAAAGCTCTGGCTGCAGCACGGCAATCTGCGAACACAAGCGAATTTTTTTCTCGAAAACGGGTAGGATTTCGGGGGTATGTCTATTGACCAGAAATGGTTGAAATTGACCCTAGCAACCGGGAATAATTTTTTCAGAACAATTTGAAATTTTTTTTTTCGTCGAAAAATTTCAGGGGAATCATTCCTTTTTGGTCAGACATTATATTTTCAGGAATTAATTTTTTTCTCGAATGTGGATAGGATTTCAGGAGTATGTGTATTCACCAAAAATGATTGTAATTGACTCCCGTAGCTGAAAATAATTTTTTCAGAATGATTAGAAATTTTTTAATTTAATTTTTTAATAACTTTTTAACGAAACCTCAATCAAGAAATTGCTATTCTTGATTTTCGTCTTATTTTGGCGTCTAGAATCTCCCATTATAATTTTTCCCAGGGATGGTCGAACACCCTTTATAGTTGTTATTATTTCCATTCTTTAAATAAAGTTATTAAATAGTTACAAGAACAGTTGAAAAGAAATAAAATGAATTTAGAGCCTTTTTGGAAGATTAACACGATTTGGCATTTGTAAAATCTTTAAATGAAAATAATTAATTCTTTTTATAATTAACAAAATTATAACAGTAAGATTTATATTTGTTATTTTTACTTTCTAATTTCATATATATTGTAATACTACTATATTCTAAAGAATGGACTATAGGTACGTTTAAACACACTTATCTAAACAAGAACTTTGGTCATACAAACAAAAAATTGAAAGTAGTTGAGATAATCGTCGTACTTCTATCATATTACATCATCCACGTGCAAGAAATTAATACTTCTTCAAATTCATATACTATACAATACCATAAATAGTCTCCGCGTACATACATTTAAAATTGCATTTTGGATGACAAATAAAAATTCTATAAATACATCGCCGAGATACGATTCAAGTGTCTAGTTAAATTATGATAGAAGGCAATAATAAAAAATTCATACAAATGCAGTTCTACCATATGTTGATCGAAAACTCTGGCTCTCCTAAAGACATGCTTTATGAGCAAACGATGCGTATAAATTCTTCATGGTATCTCGCTAACTGTCGACTCGTCGATGTCAACTACAACCTTCTACTAAAAACGGCACCCTAACGAACTAACTGTATAATATTTAGCAACGTCTCGCGTAGCGGCTCTAACTACTTTAACCTTCCGTTAACCCGCTTCTAATAGCCACGATGTCGACGCCCGCGGTGGTTCGATTGGCAACCACTGCAGTCCCGACCAGCACGCTGGGTCGCGAGGATTGCAAGGACATCAACTGCGACTTCCAGGCGACCTGCGAGCTCGGTCCGGACCACTACCCCAGGTGCAGTTGCAAGTTCGACTGCGCCTCGATATCCCCGGAAAACATGACTCCCGTTTGTGGTAGCGACCTGAGGACCTACTCGTCCCTGTGCGCCATGAAAATGGAGGCCTGCCAAAGGCAGCAAGAGCTAAGACCTAGACCCTTCGACCTTTGCCAAGGTTCGAAGTAGCCGGGAAACTTACGTCGATTCGCTGCCTAATTGCTTCGAGCGTGACAAACTTGCTTTCAACTAGCTTAGTTGTTTCATAGTGTTGTTGTCTGTGTGCGCGCGTGTCTATGTCATACGCTTTACTGTTGGTTAATGATTTAACGAGCAGCTTCCTCCTGTTTGGAAGACGAAGTGGTGTGTCGTTTCTGCCGATTTTCACCACTCCCTCTTTTTATGCCCCTTTGCTTGCTTTGGTTGCTCTTAGGAAATCTTACACAGAGCGGACCGCCCAACTCGATTACGCTAAATTACTCGTAAATTGTTTGTTCGAATTATGCATTTTTTAGAACCGAGCCAGCAATTTGCTGGATCTTATCGACGAGGCCAAGTAATACCTACATGAACACTGACACACGTTATTTATCTTGTGAGGGATGTGATTTTGTTCCTAAAATGAAAACTCTTGAATCATAGTTGTGTCACTTGGGAAGTAATCATTAATTTCTTTCGAATAGTGAAACATCAAATTCATCTAATTTATTTTGATATTTAGTTGTTTTTCAATTTTGGTCGCTCTTTTACCAGTTATAACTTTCGAAACAACTAATACCCCACTGACATTGATGCTTACAAATACGGAATGTATGCTCATAAGTAGAAATATCGAGTACTGGTCAGACACGTTAAATAGAATATTCTTTTATGTTTTCGATTTATTTTCTGAGACAAAATAACTATATTACAGTTGGTATTACCAATTACTGGATACCCTACTATATATGTATAGTTAAAATTGAATATTAAATATTGTTATACCATATGGTATAGTATACATTTAGTATTGTATTCTCAACGTACCTTAATAACAATAGCTACTATGTCATTGATATATAAATATACATCAATATTTTTCTCCTATTATTTCCTGTAAAAGATTTATAGATACGTAATTGGGGCATTGCTTGCTTAAAATTCAGTTTGTATTCGGTAATTGCACTCCATATTAATTGCATTGATTTATTAATTGTACACACTACTTAAATTTAATAAATTGAGGAGACCACGTACGATTTGACAATTGTTGCAATATACATAACAGTATCGACTCAGCATTTAACTTGTAAAATCAAATATTACACAATTCTTTTAAAAAGTTTTAAGAAGCATTCGTATCTCAATAAGGAAGCAAGATAAAAATATCAATTATTACGACGCACACATATTTTGTTATCTAACAAACAGTTTACAAGTAATTTAAGATAGTCGAATTAGGTGCCTCACCTGTATACTAAATAATTAACCTTCAACTGTCTTCAGTTATCTGCCTGGACAGTTTTTTTAACTTATTTTCAGACTGCTTCTGAACAATGAACGAAATATAAAAAAGTAAACATTATTGTTTGCTAACTATATCGTAGTTACATTAATAGTACATTAATTTATCAATATATAAATATATAAATATATATTTATCTGAGTCAGATTGGCTCAACCTGTTGAGGGTTAAATAGAGATATTTTTTCAAAATATCCGCGTAATTGCCTTTTATCTAAGTTTAATTTGCATCCACGTTCAATCTATTTGCATCATTTTTGTTGTTTCCCCTCGTTTAGATATAGATCCCTTCGATACTTTTAGCCCAAGCGTTTCCCTTAGAACGATCCAATATATTATTTACAAGCAGATTAAATAGTACATTGAGCTAGTACGAGACTATGAATGTACTTAACGAGAAATTTATTTTGGCACAGGTATGGAAGTAAAGCCTTGCAATGGTGACCCGCCATTGGTGGACAACGATGGGAAGGAATATGACTGTGGCAATGGACCTGAACGAAGGGACTGCCCTGCTAACAGTTACTGTCATCAAACCACACGACTCGCTCGATGCTGCAGAAAAGGTCAGTTGAACTATTACCGGTAATTCATGTTCACCCTAGGATGGCTTTTATCAAGCTTGACTTCTGGAGTCACTAGACACAACCCTCAACCATAAACTTTATTAGATACGTATTTGCAGTATCTGTGAAAGGAAAATAATAATATTTGTACAAAAAATTTATAGATTTCACTATAATAGATATACAGTATAATAACTCTTTCAAAGGGTAAAAAAATTGCAACAGAGACTTTGTGTCTTATACTTGCACACACTAATTCATTAAGGGATATATTATAACATTCATTTCTTGTATATCTAATATTTAACATAACATGAAAATTGACATTCTGGTAAGATTAGTTACAGAAGTGAAATCTTTGCATATTTTAAAGACGATGAGGGCAATGGAGGTCCCAGAAGTTATCCTGGGGTTAAATGCTATTAACTCTATTTAACAGTTTCTATGGGTATAATGAAACCTGGTTAATCCAAATTGAAGGGCAGAGACAAAGCAATAATTAGTGAAGCAAACCATATCTCAAGAAACAAAGAAAAAATATCAGATATAAATAAACTAGTACTGTCAAAAGATTGGCAATATAACCTATGTCCTCCACCAAACTATATTACTATATCTTAGAAACTGTCAAATAGAGTACATGTATTATACGAACTTCTTTCATTGCACCCAATCTCTAATCCACCTCTGAAGTGACTCAACTTGTACTATGAGATATTTATTAACCCTCTATAACTCCTTGTGACTTCAATGTTACATATTCAATGTTACATTTTAAAAACTCTCCTTATAATTTTTTACACAAGGATAGCTACTCCCAAAAAATAGTCTTTATTGCAATTTATTATTCGACGTACGTGCATCTGATTATGTTTATGATTGTCTTATCGTGTAATTTTCTGGAGAAATCAAACGCAAGTTGGTTTATAGAGGGTTAACGCAGAAAAGAGAAATAAATTGTAAATTATCGATCGTTCAGCTCAAGAAACCCAAGTGATGAAGTGTTCCGATTCCTGGCACGGTTGCTGCCCGGATGGTAAGACGGCCGCGCGTGGACCTAACGGTGCAGGTTGCCCGAGCGTGTGCAACTGCAACAGGTTGGGCAGTGTTTCTGACACCTGCAATCCAGAGACAGAACAATGCGAGTGCAAACCGGGAGTCGGTGGTCTGAAATGCGACAGGTGCATGCCTGGCTACTGGGGACTGCCTAAGATCAGCGAGGGTCATCAGGGATGCATACGTAAGAGCATTTGGATAATTAGACATTCCAAGCACCAGGAATAAAACTGATCGTGAAACTGAATGAAAATTATATTGCTCCTAATGTTAAAGTTGCTCTTGCGAAACTAGAATGTAGGGTAAATGTACCAATTACTGAGGTAGTAAGCTTTAATTGTATTTCATTTGTCTATATCCTTTGATTTATTGTTAAAGAATCATTTAGTAACCATTATTTTACAAAGTCTGTATTAACAAAAAATCTGAGAATCATAGAAGAGTGTCACTTTGTACATTTTACTTGTTATACATAATAGCGAATCGGTTATAAAATGATTAAACGAGTATACATATATGCATACTACACAGGGTTTTCGGCCACCCCTGGGAAAAATTTTAGTGGGAGATTGTAGTGGCCAAAATAAGACGAAAATCAAGAATACCGATTTATTGATTGAGGCTTCGTTAAAAAGTTATTAACGTTTAAAGATTCATACTGACCGGAAAATTTTTGGCGAAATTAAAAAATTTCAAATCATACTGAAAAAATTATTTTTGGTTGCGGGGGTCGATTACAATCATTTTTTGTCAATACACATATCCCCGAAATCCTACGCGCTTCCGAGAAAAAAATTCCTTACCGAAAATGTAATGTCTGACCATACCATTGATATGTTTCCCTGAAATTTCATGCGAATGTTTAAAACATCATAACTTCTGAACGGATTGGAGGATTTTAATGTTTCAAAATGCAAATAACGCGTATTTTAGTACAGAATATGTAGAAATTCTAAAAATATTGGAAAACTTGTCCCTTAACCCCGTAAAGTGAGAAAAACACCATAAAAATGGTTCAATTTTCAAACTTCCATAACTCCTACAATAGTGAATATATTTCAATGAAACTTTTTTCTAAAATAGAGCTCATGGGTAGCTACAAATAAGTATTAGACAACTTTTCTCTAAAGCGTCGAACAAATTTATTAAAAATCGACAAGGATACCTAAAGTGCCTAAATTTTTCGGCGAAAAAAAAATTTTCAAATCGTTTTGGAAAAATTATTTTCAGTTACAGAGGTCAATTACAATCGTTTTTTATGAATAGACATACCCCCGAAATCCTACGCGCTTTCGAGAAAAAAATTCATGTAGGTGGACAAATTTTATTTTTATCTTTTTAACAAGCCTCAATCATTGGTATTCTTGATTTTCGTCTTATTTTGGCCTCTAGAATCTCTTATTAAAAAGTTTCCTAGGGTTGGCCGAATACCCTGTATATAACCTTGAATCTCATTTAATTAAAAACTAACAAAATAATATGAATTTTCATGATTGTTCTTCTAAATATTGATGTATGAAAAACACGATATTTCTTCAGGTGTAAAACATTCTGAATGAATTGTAGAAATTTTTAAACTGAATAGAAAAAGATTACGATGTAATGGATACATTTACCCTATTCTTTTATCAGTATCGGTTGTGGAGGATATCTTTTGACACTGCGAAATTTAATTAATATTGCTTTTGTATCATGTTTCAGCATGCGGTTGCTCGCTCTTTGGCTCCGTCAGAGAGGACTGTGAACAGATGACGGGTCGCTGTGTCTGCAAACCGGAAATTCAAGGCCAGAAATGCACGATCTGTACCGATCACAACAAGATATTGACACCTACTGGTTGCTATTCAGGTATCACGCACGAGGGAGCAAATCTACGTAACAATTGTCATTGATTCGCTTTATAAAACTTGGAAGAAACAATCCTTAACTATGTATAATCTTGAACACTGCAAAGATATAGGGGAAAATAGGGTAAAAACTAATTTTCTAATTGCGCAAGGCCTACTTAAGCTGGTAATGCTTTGTTAAAATCTTTGTTGTTTTCTGATATTTTGTACACAATAAGAACATATTAAGTACATGATTTCACCCTACTTTCCTTTACATAATTGTGAACAGGAACTTGTACTTTTAAAAAATGATGCCTCTAGCTTTTGATGGGTCTTTATAAAGTCTCTTAAATCGAAGGACATAAAACATATAAAATAAATTATTATAAAGTCATATTTCAAGCATTTTCATCGTTTCAACTATTGCATTGTGGTATTCTTCAAAATGAATATAATAGACAATTCATTTACAAGAATGTTGTGACATAATCTCAAATGTAAGACATTCGTTTGTATTTTTGTAACATATTTTCTATAGGAAATTATTGAGAAACATTGGAAATGTTTGAAAATACTTTATCTTAATTTATTCACACCAAGCTATTAAACATGCTTCAACTGAAACATTTATAATGTATTAATGAATTATATAGCTTACATAAGGTACCAATAGGCTTTCCAGATCAAAAATTTATTTTTCAGGTACCCACGATGCTTAAAAAAAAAAGGAATTTTTGCACGAAATTATTTTATTAACATGAAGATTTTTATACGAAGATTAGGAAAAGCTATATTTTTAATTAAAAAACAAAATACACTTAAACCTCTTTATTCTACTAACAATGATATTCTAAAGATCCCACATATTTTTTATAACTTGCCAATTGTCTTCAGAGTAAATGTGCATTTCTAAAGACCTGTAGAAATTCCAAGAAAACCTTTCATTACCTAACTCTTTTCACCTGCCTCCCTTTCAAGTTGCTTCAAAACGGTACAGAGCCCAAGAAGGAAATATTCTAAAATGTCGATCGAGATTTTTAAATATTGTATCCTCTATCGAACGAAACATTCTCTAACTTAATTTGTCGTCTGGTTACAGCCGACACGACGCCGCCGATACCGTCGTCCTGCAAAGAGCTGGAATGTTATTCCGGCGGCCATTGTTTGGAGATCGATGGCACGCACTGCGATTGCCCGTCGTCCTGTCCATCGGACATACCGTCGGTCCCGGTCTGTGGTAGCGACGGACAGACATACGACAACGAATGCGAGCTAAGGCTCTACGCTTGTCACCACCAGGCAGACGTGGTCACGCAGGCCTTCGGCCACTGCAGAGGTGGGTTCACTGAGCGTACGCCGTACAGGCCGCCTTATATTCTGCGTTACTAACCCCCGCAAATAACAAAACGCTATTAACGATCGGAGAAGGATGCTGGACAGGTCCTGTCGAACAGATTGTCTCGTAGAATTTCTCAAGCCCATCGGCGCGGTAACGACTTAACACTTTGAGTACCACGTCTCCCTATTCTAAGCCCAACATACCACAGGAGAACACGATCTTAGCTACTAAGACAAGAACAATCCTCATATACATTTATTTTCAATTCCTCTATTCGTGCATCTTTGTTCATTGAAAAGTCTCAATCCTCGCTACTGCTTTTATCGAATACACTATGAATTATAACCATCTTTTTCTTCTGCTTTTTCACTATTTCACAAGCACAACTTATCGCAGGAGAACACGATCTTAGCTACTAAAACAAGAACAATTCTCATATACATTTATTTTCAATTCTTCTATTCGTGCATCTTTGTTCATTGAAAAGACTCAATCCTCGCTACTGCTTTTATCGAATACACTATGAATTATAACCAACACTTTCTTCTGCTTTTTCACTACTTCACAAGGGTATACGCAATACAATTGTCCATCGGTGGAATTCGAAATGCTTTTGGCACTCAATGTGTTAGCCGAGCGCATTACCTCGAAGTTGCTTTTAAGCCGATTTTCGTGAGTCTGCGACGTACGATTCCTTAGAATCTACTCGATCTGTTATTCGTAAACGGTTGCTCCGACGTAGAATTAACCTTAAGACTTGAATCGCGCCGCGAACGACGAGCAGCGAACTATGATACACGACGAATCTACTATTAGAAAAATGAACCAACCATGAACGGGAGTCTTAACGATTTCGAGGGTTTACTGACGTTAGAATTAGGTGTACTACTATAGACAGTCGAGTGTTTAAGATAAAGTTAGTTAGAATCAAATAAAATGGAGGAGCCGAATGCTCGATTGTGTTACTTCTAGAGTTCGCGATGCCATTTGGCTCGTAGAAAAAGAAACGTTAAGAGCACGATTAATAAATCGTTAATGATATTGTTACCATAGCTTTGGAAACGTCGAAACGATCTTACAAAGCTTGATCGTACCTAGGTCTAACATCTAACAACCTGTTCCTTTGTATCCATAACGTAACAATAAACTTATCAAGTTTCTACTGACATGTATACATATATGTTTATAACCCCCTTGCCCGCTACTTTGCTTGCTTTCTTCATCAACACCGTACGTAATCGATCATGCGCGTGAAGTTGCGCTCGAACGCGAACGTTTGACTTCGAAAAGCCCGAGGAAAGGTCCAACAAGAAAGAAAGCAAAGTATAGTTACTTTGATTTGCGAAGGAGTCGCGAACACGCAGGGTGTAATAAAATTTTTCATTGAATTTTCGCAGGTTTGCATTTAAATGCAATGCAGTTAAATATACCGTATTTATTTTAACGAAACTTTAAATATTAATTAAGAACATTTTGTTTTCTACAGTCCTCCCAAAGTATATTTTCTTACGGGGGCCTCCAATAGTCTTGCATATTCAACCACTTTTTATTTAGTTTAAGTATTAAAAAAAAAGAGAAACAATTTCTTCTTTCAAAGATGCAATAGAAAACGTACAGTAAAGGTGCAACTTTAATAAGTGAAATTTATACTATACTAAGCAGTATTAGTATTATCTGTGCTAAATATTTTACATATTACTCTCAGACAATGGAATGATTAATATTATTAAGGAAAAATTAATTTGCACATATTTAGTCACTTACTTTTTAGTTCGAGTATTCCTTGATTGATTCCGAGTATTGATTGATTGAAATAGTTCCTTCTTTGGAAGATAAAATAGAATACGTATAATAAAGGGTTAATAATAGTAAGATACATTGGAATACCGATAGTAATAGTAATACTACTTTTTATACCAAAAGTTTTACGTAATATTACAGATTAAGAAATACTGTTAATAGACAATCGGATAAAATTAATGACAATGTTACGTGATGATTATAAAATTGTAAAATGTTTCGAGTACTTTGCTACATGCCTCTTGGTTCTTCCATCAAACCAAGTTGATTCTTTGGTAAACTCAGCTATAGAAGTGGACTGATAATTACAAATTCAGAATCAATTGGCTGCTCAAGATCGCTATTTCCACCATACTGCTCAGTTACTCTTTGTTGAATCTTAATCACTCGAACAGACAGTCTAGAATTAAAGAGCATTAAAGAAGAGATCTGGCATGATGCACAGTAGTGGAAGCAACCTTGATCACCCAGATGATGATTATGATTCGAGTATTCTGTCAACATAACAGAGTATGTCCTTATAAAGTATCGTTTCCCTTATTAAAATAATTTCCCACAATTTAAATATTATCAGAGTTTGGCAGGAACCATAATAGGGGCATGAAAGTGACACAATAACAGCTAATAAATTGAAAAATAAACATTGCATGATATGGGACACGATTACTGGTATTAAAAATGACTTTATTGAGGATCTTCCACGCAATCGGGGTATCATTGTACAAAAACGGTTTGGCAAAGTGAAATACAATTCCACGTAAGTATGTTAATAAAACTCTCTTGACCTGGTAACCAAAGAAATTTCGTGGGCTTTTGAGAAAATTATTCGTTATATACTATTTCTTTAATTTCTGTTATAATTTTCGTTATTTCACCTTGACCCTCGCGAAATCATGGAAGAGGGAGTACTTCATGTCCACCATATTACTATTTTAATAATTTCTGATAAAATAATCATGGAAAAATTCTGAAAGAATTGAATATTGCGTTAATAAATTGTCTCGTGAATATTATGTCATTAAAATTTGAAAAAGATAAAGGTGTTACGTTAAGGAATGCTACAACAAGCATAAAAATATAATAAAATATAAACAAAAATTATATATGAACTGTTATACACAAAATTTTAATAATCAAAATCTCGTTTTGGAAAGTTCTGTTAAAAAAAAAAATACTTACAAACTTGTTTATTTGCAATACATGTTTGTAATTTTTATTCCCAGAGACATTCAAAACATGTTTTTATAAAGAGGTTCCAAGTTATAAATTTCTATTTTGGTGGATATAAAGTACATATCTCTCTCCGTCTCCGATGTTTCAAATTACAAAGGCTAAGTATCAAATGATTAATACCGGAAATTGAGAATTCTACTATCCGAAAATTGCTTTAACCCATTGTTTTACGATTTACTTTCGAGCAAACGTGTATTTGTTCAGACTATTTAATTGGTAGCAGTACTGTATAAATAATTGTTATAAATGGAACTAACATAGGTAAAATTTTGCTAAATTTTTCAATGTATTCCCAAATATGGCATTTAAATATTTCAAACATTTTGACGAATGTAACCTGTCAAAGTTGAGTTTGCATAAACAAATCGGACAGGTAAGACTTCTCATTTTCAATTTTTAATTAGAGATTAATGAAACAGTCGCGATTCTCTATTACTTCGGATAATGGAAATTCTGCTGCATACAGGGTGTAAAATTTTAATGGGAGATTCTAGAGACCAAAATAAGACGGAAATCAAGAATACTAATTTGTTGATTGAAGCTTCGTTAAAAAGTTATTAATATTTAAAGTTCCGCCTGTAGAACGGCAATCTACGAACACAGGCGAATTTGTTTCTCAAAAACGAGTGGGATTTCGGGGGTATGTCCATTGACCAAAAATGGTTGAAATTGAACCCCGTAACGGGAAATAATTTTTCCAGAAGGATTTAAAATTTTTTTTTTTCGCCGAAAAATTTGTCTACCTCCTGAATTTTTTTCTCTAAAATGATTTGAATTTCGAGGGTATGTTTATTCACCAAAAATGATTGTAATTAACCCCCGCAACTAAAAATAATTTTTCCAGAATGATTAGAAATTTGTTAATTTAGTTTTTTAATAACTTTTTAACGAACCCCCAATTAAGAACTTGCCATTCTTGATTTTCGTCTTATTTTGGCCTCGAGAATTTCCCATTAAAATTTTTCCCAGGGGTGGCCGAACATCCTGTATAACACTTTTCGTTCAGAATGATTAAACATGCCAGAAACATTTATTGCTTGCCTCAAGGTGTATTCTGTAACAGTTTTCGTCGCTGCAATGCTTGATCTCGACTACTGAATTCAGTTCGACTCACTATCGCCTCCATTCATTCGAACAATACATACTCCCTATTAGTTTGAGTAATGAAGATTCTACTTTCTAATGTATATCAACGATGGAATTTCACCCGTTTTAATCAAAACTAGTAAGTTTATTATGTTTAGAGATAAATTATACTTAATAAACCTTTAAGCGCTGGTACTTTACCAGTATTATGGAAAATACGTTTAATCTGCCCTATAATTAATGGTGGTAATAAATCTCTTGTCTCATCTTACAAAAACCCATCAATACTAAAAATCTAATAACCAAAGTATTCGAAGATATTATTTTCGACAAGTCTTTTATGTAAAAATTTAGTAATCAATGAGCAACGATTATTAAATTTTCATATCTTGACTATCTGTTCTAACGAAATTTTTAGTCTATCATTATAGCAAAAAATGATCATAATACTCATAATCATTAACCAAGTAATCCTCACAAAGAGTAATCTAGTAATATAGCACAGCATTTGTAGGTTTCAATCATTAATCAATAATTTGTAATCTAATCATAATGAATACGCATATTCATTATGGTAATAAAATCGAAATTTAAATGTCCTCCATCAATATTCATTATACAGATAAATAGATAACTACAGAGTTGTGAACTATTGTTTTTTGATAAATAATTTTACAGTTTGCAAAATTAACGACATTGATAAATAAAAAATTGACAAATATGATAATACAAAGGTTCAATCAGAATCCTTGAACACTAAAATATCAGATAATAAAATTCAGATTTGGGTAAAAATAGACCCGGGCTCGCCATTCGAGATACTTTTGTTCGATCTTAGAAGCACGTCCAGTTACTCTAGACTGCTTGTGAAAGGGATA